GGCAAACTGCAGTTTTGATCCTTAGAAATTTATAAGACACTGAAAATATAGTCTGCAACTTACATACTACATAATCCTGCTGCGCTACATTCAATAGATGGAAACATTTGTTGTTGCATTTGCAGTACTTACGGATTACCTTGCGTATCGCTGACTGGTGAAGCAATCGTTGACGAACTGTCGCAAGCAAATCCAATTCCACTGAATGCTTTTCAGAATAGTACCGGGATTAACACCTCCGAGGCTAGTCATGAATCTGCATGTGACAGAAAAAGGAAAAGAATCAATTATTTCTGTATATGCCCCATTTTATAGAAAAAAGCTAGCTATCAATATTCAGAATGGACAATGTTCTTGTTAGAAACGATATGCGCAAATGCAAGCCTTAGAATTAATATGATAAACGTTTCAAAGATTTCAAACTAAACGCGATAACTGAGGGAAACGAACAAAAGCAAAAATATGCCGGTCAGCTCTGTTCCTTACGCGTGATAGCCCTCAGAACCTGAATCTTTTCAGCAACCGTTGGCGGATGTTCATGGGCGAGAAATTCCAGTTGTTCTAGGTAAACTTCATAAAGAGACTTTTCTAAACAGAGCAGAAGAATTAATTACGAAAAAAAGCGGCCTGTCACAAAACAGTTCAATGTACGTACCATAATTACTTATTACGTTAGGCTACACCATCATTTCTTCGTAAAAAGACAAGGTGGTGTGATTTTGCCATGTAACCGGATTTCTACCGTTTATTCTTTACGGCAATACTGACATAAATTAATTCGACTTCATTATATATCAAAATCATAGCGTTAATATGCATACGGGTTGAAAAACATAACCTTTGCTATCTGGACATGCGTGTTGTTCAAACCAATACCATAGTGCTGTTATGTATCAGAGAACTGAAATACCGGGAAACCTAAACCTACTTCATGCTCCTGGCTTCCGGAAGCAAAGGGCATTTCGACTTTGTCATAAAAATCGGTGCAATCAAATTGTACGAGTCAACCAGTACGACAGTACTGGAGTAAATTTAAAGCCTAGCTGGTCATGAACCTGAAGTCTTAACGTTGTCATGCTTCGTTTAGCAGATAAACGGGATAATATCCGGTTCGACATCACTTCCGGTGTGTTCGATCCTGTTAGCAAGAATTATTTTTCCGCATAGATTTTCTAGACTTAGTATCTCAGCAGTTATCTGTGCCTTCTCTAAGGTCACGTCTGAAACTTCTGTCGACTATTCAGAGGTAGATGGCAATTAGAAAATGTGCACCGACTAATTTACTGGGGATTAAGTAAGAACAAAAATGGGCCTTAATACTTTGATCTGGGGGTCGATCAGAGCATTGTAATAGTGAAAAGATTCGATATACAGAAATCTGCCATTCATTGCACATGCCAAGAGGAACCTACCATGGTTTTGTTTAAAATTAACATGATATGTCTTTACTAGCGTTTGTGATAATAGTAAAATGTCTTAAAGATATAAAGAAATCTGTAGTCAATTTGATACAATTGCTTAGCCATTTAATCAACGGTATAGAAGTTCAAATACTACCACAGCGACTTTGTAGAGTACTTTCTGATACACTTCATGATGGCATGCCATCTCTTATTTTGATAATTAGCCGCTTTCTTAGAAATGGATTCGCACATCGTATTTTTGCCACATAGACATCCAAGGATGTTCATGTTCATGTTTGCTACAGTTTGAGAAGTGCGCATAACGCGCCCAAGACCAAAATTCACAGCGGACTGCCCTACCCTCTTGTTCAAGAATGTGATCTGCATAAATGCCACAGCCTCAAGACAATACCAGGAAACCACGAGCAAGATGGCGGTGTACTATGCCAGGAAATGTGGCCTTGAAGAAATTGTGCTCTATTTGACATACTCTAGAGTGCGAACAAGATGTATTTACGAAGTAACATATCAATGAGTGCCAGCTGCTGAAACATCGTTCGCG